GAAGTCCAATTCACCACGGAAGTCCAGTTTACCATGGAAGTCCAGTTTACCATGGAAGTCCAGTTCACCACGGAAGTCCAGTTTACCATGGAAGTCCAATTCACCACGGGAGTCCAGTTGAACATGGAAGTCCAGTTCACCATGGAAGTACGCGTCTCGGGCTTGTCCGCGTCCCCGGAATAAGACGGATCACGGACAGCAGTGGTTCAACCACGCTCGATCTCGTCGGATTCTGGAAGCTAAGCAGGCGTTGAACCTGGCCAGTTTTCGGATGGGTCTGCAGCCTGCAGGGATGGGTGAGCTTGCCAGGTGCTACAGGCGTGGAACTGCGATGTGTGGCCACGAGATGGCTAGGCTAAGTGTGAGATCTCCTCGGATGCCTGATGGGGTCTTCTCCGATTTGTTCAGGTTTATTGCCACTTCAAGCCAAGCACTCTCATCAATGGTATTAACCAAATATGGAAGAATGACGAATACCAAATAAAGACCTCAAACACGACATTAATAATACATTTAAAACAAACAAAAAGGTTTCGATTGTTGAATTGAACCGAAACCAATCAGTCACTGCGGGAGGTGAATCGTTGCAAGCGTTCCGTGTTGGGATTGTCCATGGACCCTGACCAGAGATGTTTCCCTTTGTCGCGACCGTGACCTGATGGGGCGTCACTTGAGACGCTTCCAATGTAATTATTGTGGCCAAATAACAGTGAATTGTGCTGTTATTGGCCACAACGACTTGAAATGAGTGGGCTGACCAAACGAATCCCTCGTATTCGCCACGTATAAATACATTGATACGACTAAAAGGTTTGCTAACTTAGGTGGTACCAATTTCTCCTCTGGGCAGATGTACTATTGGGAGCAATTCAGGCCACGAATCGACTCAACAATCGATTCTTTGTGTGTCGTTTTTCATAATTCGTATTGCTTCTAAATTGTGTTTGCACGCATGTTCAGCTTTGTTCGCTCAATGAGCCTACAATGTAACGGTATAAAATTGACATCTAAATGTGCATACGCCTATTAGTGCACCGATTCTTACACACACACACGTGCGCGCGCGGATCTATGCATTGAATGAAAGCGGTGATAACCCATTTTTATCGATTAATCAAAGCAATGTGACATTACTAGTGGTTCGTCGGGGCGATATGTATTCATGTAATACACTGGGAGTAGAAGTTACATAACGCGTGTTATAAATGCAATAACATATAACTTATGCAATGTAGTTCCGTACTTCCCGGCACTGTTTTAAAAGCACAGTTTAAACAGTCTAACACGTCGGCTTTCGCGAACAATATTATCTGCAATAAAAGTTTTTTTTTCAGTTAGGTCGTGTAAATGTGTCGTTAACCCACCACCACCCGACACAGCCAACTTAATCAGATTTGTCACGTAAACAAAAGCGTGCCAATTAGGTTCGAGCTCAGCACACCGGTGCGTTAGAAGAGCAAAAACACCACGACATTTACAATTGCCGCTCCACTTTAAACACCTGAAGTGTCACTCGGGACAGCTCGCATATCAATCAGAAACCCCTGCGATTGATGGGACGAGGCAAGTCAGACCACGAGGCAACAGACGAGGCCCAATGAGGTGGCAGATCCACACGTTGCAGCCCTAAACCAGGTAACAAACATATCATCATCTTCGAACAACGAATGCAATTTCTCACTCTCTCTCCCTCTCTCTTACCCGTCCGGTCGCGCGAGAAACGTGACGCGTGGCTCATGCAGTCGTGGGAGCCGCAAGCTCATCCCAACTTCTCGACTCACGCCGCATCCCTTTACACATGCCCCCCCACCCCCCACAGCCGATGTGTCGGTGAATGCGACTCGTCAGGATGAAGTGAGTGAGCGAGCGCCCGTAGAAGCTGAATGGATCGAAACTACGAGCGGAGGATGAGCGGTGGCGGGGATGGGGAATTGGTGATGTTTTAAGTTTTAACTCCGGACGACTATCCCACCCCCCTGCTACACCCTCACCTCCCCGTACGCACACACACCACACCCCTACCACCACCACCACCACCCCCACCCAAGCTAACCGACAGACCGAGCGACCGTCCTTATCCATCGCACACGTCCTCGCGAGATAGCGCGCTATCTCCTCGCCGGCGTGCGTACGTGCGAGGTAGCGTGCGCTCATGGTGGCGCTGGAGGTCGGCGCTGGTTATGGCCCTGGCGCTGCAGGTTGTTGCTATCGGTGCTCCGACCGGTGGTGGTGGTGGTGGGGCTGGTGGTGGTGGTGGTGCTGGGGAGCGGTAGTGTAGCGGTTAGCGGCGCTGCGCGACGAACCCGGCGACTCGAGTTGGCGCAACACCGTTAATGGTTTTCCGATTCGGTCCTTGCCCTCCCGCCCTAAGTCGGCTCAGCCTCAAATGAGTGACATGGTGCGATGCGTAGACATCGTCACTGGTGAGACAAAGGCGGCCGGGCGTGTCGGCCTTCATCGATGCTCGCTCACAGCACTTGCCCCAGCAGTCTGTTAAGGCTATACGGGGGGTCTTTGTCTTTGGTGCTGGCACTGGTACCAGTGTGCTAATCAGTGGAGTTAGCATATTTGGCCATGGTTCAAGTTATTAAATGCGGCACACAACCACACCGCCCCTGTCCATCAATTGTGTACGGCCTGGTATCACCCGCAACATTTACCACTGCCAGATGTTTCTCTCCAGACGAGTTCGGCGTGCCCAAGACCCCCGCTCTCGGCCAAAGACTTCTCAATCACTTCTCTGACCTATGAAATCCATCAATTTAAATTATTCTTACTTTCTTCGGGAAGGACTGGACGACCCGCTCTCGCGATCTCTCCAAGAGCGACGCGTGCTCCTCTCGATAGGGAGCAAATCGCGGAGCTTCGGCTCGACCACCCGGTGCGCCAAGGCGAAACATTGCAAACCGCGTGGACATATTTTTCCCCGTTTTAAACAAAAAGCTTCGTGACAAACAGGGCCTCCACAATCACAGCCTGTCCCGAGGGCACGGCGAATCGGGGTGACTGCCCCGGGCCCCGCCATTTGGGGGTGGGCAGGGGGGGGGTCGAGCGCTTCGACGTCACGGTGTCAGATGTGATACTTCGGGGTTTTTTTTAATACCAGGTCAGGCACACTGAGCTATGGCCGCTATTTTTCAGAAGCGACCTGGCCGCAAATGATAGCTCAACGAATCATGTGGATATTTATAGCAGCCAAATACTCGAAACGCGTGTCGTTTCGAAATGTGGAGGGAGAAATATCCACGCGACCACGGGGAGAGAGAGAGACACACACACACGCAAACTCCAAATATACAGCAGCAGGCGTCACGGTCTGGATTGAACCCATGAACTCCTGCACACCAGGTTGAGGCAGTTACATCGCCAACACATTCCGAGGCAGCCTACACGTGTACATGAGTCTTGAGAGTGGGCGAGGCTTTCCCGGCTAAGCGGACACGAGGGAAAGTGAGCCTTGTGTTTCCTAGGCGACACGCCAAGCCCGCTCGTCACGATCGGAAACCGCTGCCACCCTTTAAATCTTCGTCCTCCACAAGAGGGCGCCATCGACTCAGCAGCAACCGGACTCTTTTTGCCGGGCGAGGTATGTACTGCTGCTGTACGTTGAACTTATTTCGCACCGTACGTAGCCAACCCTGCTAATATGAGGTGCGAGGGATTGACAAGAAACTAAACGCAAAACGCAGTTCTAAAGAAATGAATTTTCAAACTAAACCTAAAAGCGCATAGCTCCTGTGAATTCCTAATTTCGGAAGAGCGTTCCAGACGGCCGCAGAAGCGCATCCGACAGCGCGCGGGATGCGGTGACCGCCTTCGATTTGATGGCGAGCCACAAGCAGCTGCTGCGAGGATAAGCGCAGTTCGCGTGATGGTTTATGCTCCTTAACGACATCGGCAAAGTATTGTGGTACATTCGTGGCAGGCACTTTGTGCGTGATGAGTGCGAAGTGAGACTTGTCCATGATGTATGTTGAACTTCTTTCGCACCGTACATAACCCAACCGTGCTAATCGCATGTGGGGGGGGGGGGGGGGGGGGGAAAGGACGACAAACTAAACGCAGTTCTAAAGAAATGAGTTTAACCTTCATTGGCAAGAGCCGCCTCCTGGCCGAGACAGACTTGATGAGTGCCCTGGAGGAGGGCGACGGGTTACCAAGGGGGCACACGACACAAAAATGTTTTCCACTGGCTACATTCCACTGTGTATATTTATTTACGTGATTTGTTTACCTTTCATATACTTTGCATTCATATTACATTTTTTATTGTTTGTTGTTGTAACGTTCTGGACATCTGTGAAAGAGAGCTTTATAGCTCATCGGATTCCTCCAGGATAAATATTCAGATTTTGAGCCTGGTTCGCATGCCGCTGAAACGGCCAAAATAAAAACTCGGGACAGTTTTTTTTTTGTCCATCGTTGGCGACGAAGGCATTGATTGGAAGGTTTTCATCAAAACATCAGGCAAAAGTGAACTTTCCTCCTCTACCCAGGTGAAGCCAGCAAGGGCGAGTGAATCCAGCCCACGGTTTTAGTGCTTCGCGTAGCTCAGTACTGTGGGTTTGTCGGTAGAGGCAAGGTGCGTAGGCGGTACAACTGCGTCGAGAGTCCACAGGATGGAGAGGGCTCCTCCACTCACGAACATTCCACTTGCGAACTTTCAGAGATACGAACAAACATGTCCGTGTGTCCAGTTGCCAACAGCCGTGCAACAGATGGCGGTGGTGGCTTCAACACCTGCAGAACATGAACAACCAGTGGCATCTACATCTACGGGATTTTACTTTTAAAGCCATTCCCCGTGTTTAGTGTACACGCCGTACAGCACGTTTGGAATTGACGGGAGTAAAGTTGGGCTTACGGAAAAATCGACTTACGAACAGACCTCTGTAACCTAACTCGTTCGTAAGTAAAGGAGTCCATATATAACAAAGTGAGGGGGGGGGGGGGCAAAGGGCAATTTCCTAAACTTCGGATATAAGCACAGCTGGACATGATTAGGCAATCAGCAGGAATTTTATTTGTCCATCATATGCAAAGGTCACCACAAGCACTATATAGGCACACTATAAAATTCACCTCCCAAGAGGTGTGCTAATATCCTGCCAGTTTCCACTACATCAATATTTAGATATAAATTTAAAGAAAACTCGACGATTCCCCGTAAATTCACAATTTGGGCAGGAGCGATTCACAAGCGAACCTGCCCGCGTCAGTTAGGGTTACATTTCTGCATTAGCTGCTGCCAATGATACTTGAATGGTGCTTGCACTTGAACGGTGAATTTCTTCAAATGCTTCAAAATGGGACCTTTTTGCCAGTATCAAAGGTTTTTACCCTACCTGGCAATAAAATCAGATGCCTCAATAGACAATGCCAATATATTATCACAGCATGTTTGTGTTTGCATGTTCACCGCAAGAACTGCGTGTGGTTAATGCGAACTTGATTCCTTGCAAAAAGGCTGATATTTGGTGTTTGAACATCTTAACACCCGCTATTTGATTGCCACGAAGGGTAAAACCTATTCTTATGTTTAAATTCTTCAAATGCATTTCCTTCCTCGGTGTCTGCAATGTTAACGATTTGCTGTAACTTATTTTTTTCCCCACCAAGGTCTACCCCCAACAGGTCATGCTTGCAAATCAGCTTTGAGGCTCAATTGTTTCTCACCCACATAAAACAAACCGAATCATTTCAATCCACGTTCTTTTAATTCCCCTCGACTCCGCACCGGCTGCACAAAACAAACCGACGCAGTCTTACTTTTACCGCCGCCAATCACCGCATCCGGCACACACACAAAAACGCGACTTTATAGTTTCCTCCAGCGACACCTGCCGCCGTCACACGCGCCGCACGACTCGTAAACCATTCCCCGAGCTTGCCCAAGTGCACAACGCTGCGGCTGCGGAAGCCCCCAAAGTTTAAACTCTGGACAACGCACAAAGCGTTCGCCTCCCATGACAAGGCATTTGCGTCGCTTAAATGAAATCAATTTTTATTTTTTTTACGTTTCAGTCTCACAAATCGCTCGCCCACTATTTTAAGTCATCCAAAGCGGCGGTTATCCCACGTTGCCGTTAACCAAAGCTGTGATTCAACTATGGTGGTAGCGCAACACTTTAATTCTCACTACAGAAGCACAATTACATAGCGAGTGGAATAACCGGTTGATTAATAGTGCAATGCAGCTCAAATGTTTAGCTTTAAAACCAACACCACAATTAGCAGAAACCAAAGCCCCAAAATAGAAGACAAACTCCTATTCCCCCAAGGTAGCCTTGCAGATGATAAGGGGCAAGTGCTATGACTGACTACCTGTTCTAATACAACAACACGTAAACGCAAGCGCACACGCATCGCGGCGCAAATCAAGCGTGCGATAGAAGCACCTAACTCATTCACACGTTCCCAGCGCTGTCCCTCCTAGGAATGTAACTATTCACCAATCCACAGTCTTGCCAAGAAACGTAAATATTGGAGGGGTCGCGATTCCATCAAATAATCAATTGTTTTTGTCTTACTTGTACCATCTCATCTGTACTGCATAGTTTATTTTTTTACTGTCGGTGTCTGCCTGTCTTTATCTACTCCGTATCCGTCGTTGGATTACCCTCGAAAGAAAAAAAACTAAACTGAAACGTTTGAAGGAGAAACTAAATGATAATCAACTCCTCCACGCACAAGTTGACGCTCTCCACTTTTGAACATAAGTCGCTATGAAACGGCAGGCAGAGGGGTGCGTGCGTGTGTGTGCAGGACTATTTTGGCTAGCCCCGTGGTGCTGATCACTTCTTCCCGTATTTCTTGAGGTAGCGAGCGCGTATGCCCTGGTTCAGTTTGAGTATCGTCTTCATAGCCAGACACGTGGGCACCATGTTAGACAGCCAAGCCTGGGGAGAGACACCGTGACCGGAAATCGTCAGCATGTTTCACCACACTCATCACCTCCTCACAAATCAAACTAAACTATTTTTTACGAAACAATTTTTTTTATTTTACCTGGTAAGGTGCACTGAGGTGGATAGCTCTTTTACACAAGCGACCTGGTCACAGATGATAGCTCAACGAATTGGCTTATCGTGTGGAAATGTATAGCAGCCAAATACTTAAAACGTATGATAATTCTAAATGTGGAAGGAAAAACCGGAGGACCCGGAGAAAAATCCGCACGACCACGGGGAGAGAGACGCGGCAAACTCCAAATATACAGGCGTCAGGGTTGGGATCGAAACCACGACCTCCTGCATACCAGGCGAGGTAGTTAACATCTCGCCACCTCATCACAATCATCATGATCATCAGTCAATGACCACATTACGATCACCAACATCCCAGTCGCCTGCGTCATGACAAACGTCGATGCAAAACACACGTGGACGTTGCTGCGGTCAACGGACATCGTCACAATCGCCACGTTCCGTCACAATCGTAAACGTCACAGTCACCGTCCACATCGCGACTCCCAACCTCATCGGAATCGTCGTCGTTGGCGACACCCACGTGACTCGCGTCAAATGTAAAACATGTATATGTGCATTGTTCAAGAGGAGCAAAGACGTGAATTAAGGCTGAACATTAGTACTACTGTACAATTCAACACGTTAAATCAGTTACGATTCGTAATTAAACTTTGGTTTAGGCCACGTAATCATCTCTGCAAATGTTATGTAGTAAAGACTTTTCACCACCCGACACAGCCAAACAAATGAAATTCACACGCGAGCGTGCGTTTACCGACGCTCTGATTGTTATCGTTTCAGCTCGCTCATCGTTAAGTCTAAGAAGAGTCTCACGACCAAGTTTAGCGATCAGATACGACGTTTTGTTCCAAACATCATCAGGGCGAAATCCAGGAAGTCGGAATAAAAATGTAGAAAGTTTGCCGTGCTCTGTGTAACAGAGAATGGCTTGACGATGACGTAAGAGATGGGTGTCAGAAAGAAGTGCACTGCTTGAGCGTATTGGCACAAGACAGAGGAGAGTGCAAACAAATGACGGAATGTGAAGTGGACACCTAACAGGCTATCTGCTCATGGATCGTGACGACGACGATGATGACGATTGCTGTCTTACGTCATCTATTTGTGCGGAACCTAATTAAATAATCGGCAATTAACTACTTCCATGGACAAGCGAGTGATGGAAAGCCTCACAAAACCCACGCCTAAATGCACACGATTGTTTATCTCCCGATTTGTACGCCGCTGCCGTGCTCACCTGCAGCGCGTGAGGCAGATATCCGTAGGTGCGGCTCTGCCGTCCCACGGTGGCCAGCGCGGAACACGCAAACGTCTCCGCCTCCGGCATGTTCAGCGTCGCCCGCTGGATCCTGGACATGTTACTCTTGACGTAGAACGGGAGCACGCTCTGTGTTCCGCACGGCCACAACAACAACAACGTTAGCAACTGGACAACAACAACAACAACGACACGCTTGCAACAAGACGCTGCCGGGCAGAGGTGACCAGATTAGCTCAGATCAGAACGCCGAGCTGGCGGCGATGAGGTTCTGGGTTCAAATCCAGGCAGCCGCCAGTGACGAAACCCAATTCTCAAGTGGAGCGAGTTGATGGTTTTGAACCCAGTCAGCGATGACTGCATGCAACTAAACATCGTGTTAAATTTGGTTCTGCTCTTAAATTGGCTCTGGGAATAAAACATTGTTTCGACTGAACATTTTGTTGTCGGTCGCCAATGTACGTACGCGTGTTGAACTTCTTTCGCAGCGGACGTAGCCAACCACGCCCATCGCAAGTGCTCGATCGCCCAAACACCATCACATTGTTATTGACTTTGTTATTCACCCGCTACACACGTACACGTGCAGTCCTCTCTGTCAACCTACTGCTGGCTTGAGGACCTCCCCACGTTGCATGCGTCCGTCAGGGTTACACGACCCATACTTCGGCACGCTGGCCAATGCGGGTTGGTGAAGGCGTGGGAGCGTACAGGTACAGCGCAGCAACGGATGTTGCTACGCTGCTGTCTGCTGCCCAAAAGTGAAGCCTCACAGCCCGACGAAAAACCTATTCGTACATCGAAGCTACTCATTCAAGCACCGTTCACGCTCAATCATTCTTAGCTTCCGAGATCTGACAAGAACGTTCCGAGTGAAATGGTCATCGACGCTGCAAGGATGTTATCCGATTACAGACGAATGCCGTTTGTACGGGAAAAAAAAAGCTAGCATGACACTACTGGTGCCAAGCTGCAGGGTCAGATTGAGATGTGGGAAGACGCGCACACGCACACACCTGGACGATGATGCCCTTGGACTTGTACTCGGTGTTGAGGCCCCGAGAGAAAAAATCCACAAACACCTAGAAGGGAGAAGAGGTTGTAGACGGAGACGGCACCACACCAATGCGGCAACTCACATCATCATCACCAATAAAGACAGTTGGGGCAAGTGTTGTTAGCGAGTAGTACCTATGAAGGCCGGCATGGCACACGAAGGGGGGGGGGGGGCGGTGGCCGGCACCACGCCCGGCCGCCTTTGTCTCCCTAGTGGCGATGTTTATACACCGCACCAGGTACTCATTTAAGGCTAAGTCGCCCGCACCTCCGATTAGCTCGGTTGGCTATGTATGGTGCGAAAGAAATTCAACACAGATACATACGACCTAGGGGAGGCCTAGGACCAGTTGAGATAATCATCACTGGTGTTGGCCATGAGTGGGTATCAAACTCGGGCCGCCAGTGTTGGTAGCGCAGAGTGCTATCCGCTACGCCACCGCTCTCCCCCACATCATCACCACCACCACCACCGCCGCCACATTCACACAACCAATTACAGCACAAAAAGTCCATGTGACCTCAAGCCGAGTGCAAGTTTTCTAAAACGTTCAGTTCTTTGAAAGAAAAACATCCAGAATAAAAAATGTAAACAGCATCCACAACAAAATGTGGCACGAAAGCCAGAAACCTTCCAGCCTCCAGAAAGGGGAATGCATTTCCAGACAAGAGCAAAGCCCACTTGGATAGTGACTAAATGTGTGAATCCTATTCCCAACTATCGATGCAAACAGGACATACAAAACACAAACTAATTAGGAGAGCCCACTGAGAGAAACCTGGGGTGCCAACAAATATTGTACAGTTTAAATATCCCGATGAAGATTGTAAAGTTATTAAAAATCAACAAAGATTGTTTAAAAGGGTCTCGTTACCAACAAGAAATAATAAAACAAATGTACATCCAATGCTCGCTGAAGACCTCACCATTCCACGTCTGTCCTGAGGGTTGTTTGACCACACTTCACCACGATAATCATAGCGGGTTGGTGCCAAGCAGAGGCTTGTTGTCATGGGTGTAAATATAGGACGAACCAAAGCCAAAAAGCTAAAGTGTAAATGTGTGCTACATTTACACTCTTTCTCATTGCGTTTAGTTTGTTGTCATTCCTCCCCACACCTCCGACGAGCGCGGCTGGCTACACAACGGTGCGAAAGAAGTTCAACGTACGTACACACACACACACGGCGCATGAAGACGCGCGCAAAATGCAAAAGCGCAGCAAGTTTGCCTCTCACCTTGGTGGCGGAGTAGAGAGACAGCAGCGGCACGGGGAACAGGGCAGACCCCGACGAGATGTTTATGATGACGCCGCCCTTCCTGCAAAGGGCATGCACAGAGGGAGGTTACCGGGTGAGGGTTTCTCCCCCAAGGTAGGGGAGACGTTTGGGTGTCGTGTGACCACGTTTCACCACGCCTGCCAGTGGTGGTTGAAGGCGGCACGTGTCCGGCACTGGTTTCAGTTCCTCGGCATCCCCCACATTTCACACGGCACTGGCATTAGCTGTGGTTCGGAATCAAACTCATGACTGCTGCCACACTGGTTATTTTGGTTTGTTGCTTGCCATCATGCAAGTTCCGTTTTCCAAAAGCGTGCCAACTTGCTTTGTTTCATATCTATTTTTTATCCTGACCCTTACGTGCCCACACCCTGATGCGTAGCGTAGTTGTGTACCACGAACAAATGTCTGCTCATTTATCTCGAGCTCCCACTTTGCGGCATTCTTAGTTAAGTTTTTCCATCATTTCCTGAAGGTAATTTTCACCGATTTCATGACCAAGTCATCAAAGAATCTCAAAGACAGTGAACATTCGCACTCTGTGTCATGATTTCACATGTTTTCATTTATCAATGCCCAGGCGTCCCTCGAGTGCTCAATACTGAAGCTTCACAATCATGTCAGACACGGCTCAAGGGGAGACGCGCAAGGCAAGTTACCGACAAGATAACAGACACTTGATTGTTTTCCACTGCATATTCTTTTCAGTGCAGGACAGAACTTAAGCGTGGAAGGGAGCTCCCGGGTTTTATCTTCCCAGAATTTGCGAGTTGGCGACAAGAGCCGGATACAGCTCGAGCTGGACTGGCGCTCGTGCGTTGGGCGCGTATGGGGGGGTGCTATCACGCCGCCACCGACGACGCTTTAAAACAAAACCTCGCCAGCAGCAGCAGCAGCAGCACGGCGCTCTGCCGCCAAACTTCACCACGCGCTTGTCGAGCGTGCGAGGTGGCGGCGTGAGGCTACCCCAGGGCAGAAATGACCGCACGCAGCAGCGAGGCCAGGAAGCGCGCGTGTGCGCGTGCACGTGGTTGACTCACCGCTCCAGCATTCCCGGCAGGATGATCTGAGTCATCTGGTGAGTAACAATGAGAACACTTGTGGGTAACTCCAATTACAACAGCGCTGACACACGGCCAAATTGAAAAATCTCAAAAGCCTTGAGAGCGTGTGTGCGGTGTGTTATTCATGCGCTGCTTAACGCTCAAAACCCTCTTTCGGTGAATCACCCGATCCTCGATGTCATTACAATGCACGGCGGCGATGTAAGCAAGGCTGTTTAACTGTCGGCATAACTCCAGTAAAGGAGCCTCTCTGGTTGCAGCCGATGGGGAAACGGGAGTGGCGTTAAAACGTCACACGTTGTTCGAGGAATTTAGATAGCGTTCTTTCCGAATCTAGCGCTGGATGAAGATCTCCCCATGCCGCCGTGTCAATCGTGGAGGTGTTTGACCACGTGTTTACGTTGCTGGAAAGTGCCAAGTGAGCGAGGGGTGGGTGGGGGGGGGAACTCGTGACCGATTAAGGTATGGCTCTCCACTCATGTTGACCGTGGCCGGGAATAGAACTCACATCGCCTAGTTAACAGTGCAGTGCTCTAACCACTGTGCTACATCTCCATTGCAGGGAACATACCGTCAAAATGCACTTATCTACTACCACATACCGATGTCGATAAGCTTATACCGTATTGTTTAGTTGGGCACACTGAACAAGTCAGCATACAATAAAAAAAACACCCCTGCTTTATACATGGCCAAAAAGATGCCATATTAATATCGTGTCAGCCACATTATGAAAAGCATTGTCTCTGGGACCTCTGCCTAGAAATGGCCCCAGGAACCTGAGTTGTATTTGTAGTAAAACAAACACACGTCAGATTAATCAGGCATCTAATGCTAATTATTTTCCGCAATCCTCAATAACATCTCACTGAAATGTTTGGCCAATTTCTATTTGACTTCCGAGTGGGAAGAAAACTTAGAATCCATCAAAAACCCACAGATACGCGGAGGGGGTAACGCTCAGCAGTGCCACCCCTTGGTCAACTCACAGCTTCACAACACCTACAACACGTGGCAAGCCATAATGGTCACCCATCAAAGTATTAATAAGACTCCACGCTGCTTAGCTTCTGAGTAGACAAGATTGGGAGCATTCAGGGTGATAGGCATAGAGAAATGGTCGGAGTGTGATGCATGGTTAATTCTTCATAGGTGTAAGTCATCGAAATGTGACCACATCTCAAGACTTTCAGAGGGGAGACAACAAATTGCACCGGCAGTAAATTTGAGAATGAGACCTCCTCCCAGCGCCAACTGGGACTTGTTGTGGTCGCAGATTTATCTATTTTATCTTACCAGGTAAAGCCCACTGAGTTATCAGCTCTTTTTCAGAAGCGATGAAGCGGCTTATCAAGTGGAAATATATAATCATTATAATTTATAATGTGCATTCCATCCTGTGATCCAAATTCACAATGCATGGAAAGCAGGAAATAAAAACAGAACCAGGGGAACCGACCAAACTAAAGAGGGAAGGGCAATTTAAAGAGATGGCTTTTCAAAGCAGATTTAAATATATCTCCCGACTCTGATTTCCTGATTTAAAGTGGCAAAGTGTTCCATAGCTTGGGTGCCACGCTAACAAAAGCCCAATTGCCAAAAGAGCGCAACCTAGACCTGGGAGTGCTGAGCAGTTGGAGATCAGCAGATCTTAAGGACCTTGATTTGAATATACAAATGTATGAGTCCGTGAAAGTAATATGGGGTGAGCCCTTTTAAATAGGTTAATAGCACTATCTTAAAATTCACTCGGAATTTGACCCGGTAGCCAATGAAGAAACGCATGTTTCTAAACGTGGAGGGAAAAACCAGCGGACCCGGACACCACGGGAAGAACATGCAAACTTCCAAATATACAGGCATTAGGGTCGGGATCGAACCCACAACCTCTTGCATGCCAGGAAATGTAAATAACATGTCGCTATATCGGCACCCCTGACGAGGGAGATTCCCAGAGTTGAGGTTGATGTAGTACCGTTACACCATACCTATGGCTCACGGGAGCATCGGTAGCATTATCACGCAACGCCCTTCCCACAACTCATGGTAGGAATCAAAAGTAGGATTTCTCAAAACTCCAGTCCTCACAGCCCACCACGGTGTGTCTTTTCACGTCTACCGATTTAGATCTGTTAAAATACAAATGTAAGCAATTACAACGCTGCACACGGCTACCGATTGCGAAGTGAGCTCCACGTGACGTCGAGCACCGATCCGAATTAAAATTGAGATCTCGTAAGTGTGTGCACAACGTGTGTTGCACGTGACATGCAGAGCAATCGTTCAACGTTTGAATAATACGCAAATGTAAATTGTACATGTAAACGCGTGCACGTCCCCAGGTGACGGCATGCTGATTAACGAGCGCTCTCGATGTCACGGCGGTAGCTACTGTTTTAGTGATATTGAGGCACGTGCAGCGAGCGGCGACCTAATTTGCTATCGAATGGAGAACCGGAGTTCAATGAACCACCATCGAAAGCGTCACCACGGTTCCGAGATCCCCGTGAACCTATGACACCTGGGTTTCGCATTACCCCCCAGCTCGTCACAGAACACAGAGCGTCGCCACAGTACAAGACCATCTCACGTGGTAGAGTTTGCGTGTCTCTCTCTCTCCCCGTGGTCGCGTGGATTTTTCTCCAGGTCCTCTGTTTTTTCCCCTCCACATTTAGAATAACTGTGCGATTTATTAGAGTATTTTGGCCGCTATAAATTTCCACGTGATAAGCCACTTCGTTGGGCTAGCATTTGTGGCCAGGTTACTTTTGAAAAAGAGCTGTATAATAAATAGCTCAGGGGCCTTACCTGGCAAATTATTGGTTTAAAAGTTTAATTTACAGGGTATTTAACAAACATGGACCCGATTTAAAGTTGCTCTATCTCTGCAGCCACGAACCGCCCATGAATGAAACTTTTGCCACTTGAAAGGGGGGGGGGGGCATAGAATTTCAAATGATTACCGCTAGATGCCTCTCCCAGCGCACAAACAGCTCCTAGCCTCAGTCATTCGCAAGACAACACTGCCTCAACGTTGGATAGGTCGCCACGGAACCCCAAGACTTGGCGCTACACTCTTGGCCCCCAAGATCCCTACGACTTTTTCTTGTGGGGAAACGTCAAAGACCATATTTTTGTGCCACCATTAGCGACTAATCTGGATGACCTCAAAAACAGAATCATGGCAGCGGTGACTTTGGTGGAAGAAGACACTTGGAGAGGCGTTTGGGACGAATTCAACTATCGTCTCGATGTTGTCCGTACAGCAGGTGGACGGCACATAGGGCATTTATAAAATGGTTAGTAAAACTTGATAACTCATTAAACCGTTTGTAACTTGTGTAATTGTAACATGTTGCCATCGTGAAATATACTGCTTTGAAATTGGGTCCATCATTGTGAAACACCCTGCAATATTCTACGTTATCACAGAATGCAAGCTATTATGTCCAGCCGCCACTAGATGTCCCAGTTTCACCTCTTAAACCACCGAGGGTGGAGCAAGGAGGCCTGTGCGTGACAGTTTGCGAGAGGTCCAACTCACCTTCAGCACAGACAAGACATTCACGTTCAGTATGTTCTTGATCATCTGCAGAACACGGAGGAATTACGATGAACACAAGTGCGTTAAAACACACAAAAAAATGCGTGTTCATTTCATGTAACACTGCTTTGCTGGTGATTAGGTAACTCGATTAGGCATACCATCGTGATCATAAACAGCATCATCGTTATAAGCAGCATTATCAAGATTGAAAACTAATTTACTTAAAACTGCTTCTCGTGTTGGGTTTGTTGTCCTTCCCCTGCACACCTCCGATTAGCAGGGTTGGCTACGTCCCGTGCAAAACAAGTTGAACATACGTACATCATCATTCATTGCCCATCCTGTGCTGCATAGAGGCCTCTCCATGCTATCGCTATCCCTCGCGCTGCGCTGTACTATTCATGAAATGAATACGTCGATGAATATCTACGAGTTTATTGACTCTGTATTCCAGCTGTTGAGTAACTTACATCGTCCAGATTGGGGATGTCCAAGAAGTACTCAGGGTAGGTGTAGGAGATCCCCACATTGTTCACTGAGGACCAAGCATCACACAACAGACCAGGACCATGATCAGAAATGATGTATCAATATGGAAGGGCCATTGCCTAGAACGATGCCCATCTATATATAATAGGGAAATTTGTGAATGTGTGTCTGTTCGAAATGTTTAGCATACTTCCCGACATGCAACAAACTTGAAATTTGGCATGTGGGTAGCTTCCAGACTGTGCACAATGCGAAAAGTATAAAAATAAACTTTGGAATTTTTTTTTTGGGGGGGGGGGGGCGCAATAATGGATATATTTTGCATGGCAAGTGAGCGGCGACGTCACATCTGTGATGTCACCCGCATGCGGCAGCGTTACGCAGTGTGCCTGCTGACGTCACACATTCCCCCAACCCTCCGCGTAGGCCGTGTATTCATCCAAGTGTCGGGCGAAGCCGGGTAGTAAAGCTAGTTATATATATTTTAAGGCAGTGTTTCTCAATGAATGTGTCGAGTGTTTTTTTTCAATAAAACAGACACCGATTGCGCCTTGTTTTGCCAACTTTCCAACCTGTCGATCCTTTTAGTATCGACGAGAGCCGACACAGAAAGGGATTTGCGAGCGCTGCATCCTCTTGGGGCAGCAGAGACTCTCACCCAGAACCCCGACGGGCAGGTCTCGGAGCGCGGCCAGCACCTTGGGGTAGATCTCCTCGCTCGCGGTGAAGTCCACAGCCACGGTCTTCGTCTCCACCTTGAATCTTTCGCCTGCGCGGTAAACGCCGTTACTCGACCGCGAACGCTTTGGGAGCCGCACTCGTTGAACATTTAACGCGTGTCTTCGTAAAGTCTTCCGCCCCCCCCCCCCTCCTCTCCCGCCCTCAACAATTTTATCGAGATTGTGCTCTAACCTGAAATACACGGGTGCAATGAATACGTCACGTCACGAGACTAAGAAGACATTCGTAGCCTATGGAAGCAGATGTCGGAGCTACCTCTGAGACTGCGTAAAGTAAAACCTGTTCCACACAGTTCGGCGCTGCACTTCCCCACGTCCTGCCACCGACAACAATGTTCAGTAAAACCAACATGTTTAATTCCTACGGCAGGAATTTAGCAAATTTAAGAGCAGAACCACATTTTAAACACGATGTTTATTTGCATGTGATCATCGGTGACCGGGCTCACATCGTCAACTCACTACACTTGAGGTTCTGGTTTAAGCGCTGGCGAGCTGCATGGATTCGAACCCAGGATCTCAGCAGCGCTAGCTCAGTGCTCCGACCTCTGAGCCGACAGGCGCCTTTATATTCAGTGCTTGTTACTGCTCACAAGGTTAACCTTGGCTGGTTTGGCTTACCTGCATTAATGCGTCATGATAAAATTACATAAGTGGATAAACTTGCATATGATATTCTGTGCGTGTATAAAGACAGATGGCCTTAGTTTATAATGAGGTATGCACTCATTGAGAGCAGGAGTCTCAGTTTCAAGGAAAATTTAGTTGTTAAATTCAGTAGAAATCAAATGTCTAAAAAAACAATGCACAACACCCTTTTATAAATGTACAAAATACTTGTGAATTTGCAACATTTATTGTATAAAACATTTTAGATTAAAAAAAATTATCTTTTAAATGAGTATATCTATCTGCCCGTCTCACATGCCCAGTTGTGGTTACAGCACAAACCAAAATAACATCACTGTTAAAAAATTATCACAGATTGGGAGACAGATTGTGGAGGGTAAAGGTGAGCGGAGAGAGCAATGATGCGGACTAGAGGGGAGAGTTCAGGGGAGTTGGGAGCGCGAGGTGTGAGTCAATAGACGGGTCGGTTGGGTGGGTGAGTGTGTGGGTGGGTGATGAGGACAAGCCACTCGGTACATGGTTTGGTGGGTGAGCGATTAAGTGCATAAGGTGAGTAAGTGGGTGGGTTGGTGCGATGGTAGGTTGGTGGGTGGGTGAGACATTTAGGGTGTGGGGTTGAGGTGATGAGTGAAAAGTAGAGAGGGGAGGGGATAATGGATGGGATGGCACGGGAGTGGTGGCAAGGAAGGCAATGTTGAACGGAGGCATTGGGGTCAGTCAGCGAGCCAAGGTGCTTTGGAGGCTTCGTGGTGGCGGTGGCGGCGGGGAGGCGGAGCAAGGACAAAGAAAGGGGCGCACGTGTCCATCTCATCAGCGATATGGGCACACATACAAAATCAAATCGAATCACCGGTTTAGCTCGTCGACAATCAAAATTAGCGGTAACGTCGGCGAGGTGCCCGTTGCGTTGTTCATGAATTGCTAATGCGGCGGCGCTGGCTCATTGCTATTCGCAGCTTTGTGCAGCACGTGGAACCGGCCGGGCCCGTCGGACGGGGGGAACCCTCGGCGCTGCCATGGCGATGGGCCGGGCATTGTGGGAAACCCCGCGAGGGGCGACTTGCGTCAGCCGCGCTCTCATCTCGTCTCGGCGGCGAGGTGCCCACCGCACCGCCGCGTTAATAATAGCTTCGTTATTGTGTCCAATTCACACATTCGCTGCCGTGCGCGCGACGCTCCTTGCTTAACGGGCGCACGCCGCACTAAGCTTTAATTTAAACAGGATTCCTGCGCCGCTGAATAGATCGTGTGCGCGCGCGCACGCGAGAGCGTCGACTATTTCTTAATCCACTGCTGGATGACGGAATCCTCTGTTGTATATGTAGGTTATAAAAATTTGATGAAAATAATGAAAATGAAATTAAATTTGAAATTTGCATAATTTATCCTAAATTATGCTAATTTGTGTAATTATGCGTAATTATTACCGACACCACCCCACCCCACCCGCGAGGAGGTGGAACCCCCTCCGCGTTGCGCAGTTAAAAATATCCATGTTGCCGTCGTGTAACGGTTCGCAGCATGGATTTGCAATCCAGAGGTCGCCGATTCCGATTTGATCTCCTGGCATGGCAGTTGAAGAATGGGCGGGTTTCTTGAATCCAACCCGCCTCTGTCCACCCAGCAGCATATAACTTGTAAATGTTGTGGGTTTGCTCTCCAACACACAGTTGTGCTCTACTAGTAACGAATTGGCACGTTCTGTTAACGCGACGAAGCTTGATGGTTGGCCGTGTCGGGTGGTGGCGGGTTTAACGACACGCGTGCATATATGTACACGATCTAACCCCCCCCCCCCAAAAAAAAAACCTGTATTGTGGAGCGTATAAATGGGTAAACCACAGGTCCATCGGCGGCTGACGCGTAGTGCGTTAAAGTGTGCGTACTGCCAGGTCTTCAATCCAAGTGTGGAAGAGATTAAGCCAACAACCCCCTCTCGAGAGGGGCTCTCTTGAGCTCCCTCCAGTGGTTGCTTTTCCTACCAGCTCTAGCACGAGCGAAACAATTGCAGGGGCTGGAAATTTTACCCTGTTCAATTCCGCAATCACGGCCATCACGCGGCGGTCCTGACTTAACACCGCACGCTGCGGTCACCTTTCATTTCAAAAGGGTTCCCCCGTGCTGTTTAAAGGCACACACAAAGCGTTGGCCATTTTCCGTCCACTGCTAGATGTCAAGACTCCCATGCATTAGTCATTGCCTTTTCCTTCCGTGTGATTGTAAAACGCATAGAATATTACGCCCTGTATTGATTAAAATATTTTATGTTCATTAATTTAGTCATCAATATTCAAGTATTGTCCTGCGGCGGCTTTAACATAGAAAATTACATGCAGCTCTAACTGATAGGTGTGTACATAATAATACAATAATGTACAGCTTTTCATCATTCCACTGCTGGATGAAGGCCTCAGTCATCTAGGGTTGTGTTTTTTATAACGACACTGATCAGTGCGGGTTGGCGAAGAGAAAGTGGGTCCAAGGAACAGTTCAGATATCACTCGCCACTAATGTCAGCCATGTCAGGGAATCGAACAAAGGTTGCTGGATCAGAGTACAACACGCTAAACACTCTATTACCACTCAACCCCAATAATACAATGGGTTTTTTTTTTACCAAAAATGCCTCGCACCGAGCCTCAATACTCATATCCAAGAGGGCCCTGCATTAAGATGTTTGGCCAATCCTAATGAGCATTTTGTGTATGGGGGGCAGGAAATGCAGTGACTGCAGGGAATTTGTACATAAGAGACGGCACTCAAAGGTGAGCACACGCAGGATCTCTGGCTACCCTGCGGGTTTGGAAATCTCACAAATGTACACGTTTCGCCAACCTCTGCGCCTCGAAATTGCCAAATCACAGAATTGTGCCACCACGCCCTGCTCTTGCAAGACAACAATAATGAGCGTGTGTCATTCTGCACTCACAATTAACAAGTGACTGGCAATTTGTAAACGATCGTCACTCGGCCACCTACTACGAAAACTTGCCAAAGTCTTGAGACCTAGCTAACTTTTCTTGAGTAAACAAGCTAAATAATAATTAAGAGCATATAGGTGTTCTTGGCTGCACGTATTCCACAACCCCTTCACCACGACCTTTATTTGCCTCAATTCCTGTTACTCCAGGGCCCCCTTGAAAACAACTGTCTCAAATGGATCGTATCTGTTTTAAACAAAGATTGTTCTAGCACTCAATTGAAACTCAAATACCAAATACATAACAAAAATACCTAATTATACTGCACATATTGTTTCATTAACCTGACATTGAGTCACAAGGGTCCCTGTAGAAGACTTGTGTGCTCTCAATATTATAATTATTTCCACACAACTAATGTGTGTGTGTTATTTATTAAGACAAAGATCCCCCGGGTAGCCTTAACAGACTGTTGGGACAAGTGCTTTTTGCGAGCACCTATGAAGGCCAACATGGCACACGAGGGGGTGGGTGGCCAGCACCATGCCCGTCGGCCTTTGTCTCCCTTGTAGCAATGTTGACACATCACAACAGATGATCGTCACTGGTGTTGGCCATGAACGGGAATCAAACTCGGGTCGCCAGGTTTGTAGCAGTGCACTAACCACTACGCTACCTCACCCCCCAAGCATACACATGCGCAAATAAAAAAAAATGGTGTTCGTGGGCAAGGCGGCGTTGACGATTGTATTACTTTAAAGGACACACCATGATTCCGTGCCAGCAAGATAAAGCTGCGGATGAATTATTGAATAACCGGCATGAAGCTGTGGGGGGAGACGGGTGGGAAAGAAGTATAATTTAGTTTTGGATTAGCAATTAAATACATCACAATGCATTGCCTGCCAAGAAGGGCATCGGGCAAGCCCAGCCTTCAGGATTAAGGGAGTTTTCAAGGACTCGCTGTACGAACTTGTGTATGTAGAACTTCTTTCGCACCGTACGTAGCCGACCGTGCTAATCGGAAGTGCGCCGAGGCACACAGGCCACCAAGGCGTGTTGGGAGAGATTTCGCGGTGGGGGACATTTGGCAAAATATCTCAGCGAACGGATCACACCTGCGCACGCATTTACACGTCATCTCCGATTAGCACAGTTGGCTACGTGCGGTGCAAAAAAAGTTCAATATACATATCCACACACAGACGTCATCTCCCGGACAATTTGTGCGCAGTTGTGACTAGAATTGAAAAACAAAGAAAACCAGGAAAGGTATGGAAAACTCGGTAGCTCGTGCGTCGGTCTGCTGTCAATCAGTTGGTCCCCCCGCGTCACCGATTAGATGTGGGGGGGAGGGGGCGTGATAAGAGTTGTCACGGAGGCACCGCATTTCCCGGCAAAGACATGCGTCACCGTTTTGGCGGGGGGGGGGGGACGCGTATGTCACCGCCGCGACTGGGGAGAAGATCGCATCTTCGAAAAAATAAAACACTATCTTGGGCAGGCGAGCGGGCAGGCAGGAAGGGCATGAAGGGGGCCACAGGGTGATGCGGCGAGAGAGACACGTCTGCCTCAAGACACAGTGTCGCTGCGAGGTCGCGGGGAGGAGAGAACGCAAAAGGAATGGTCGGCTAGAGCTAGGTTCAATGTGAGACAGATGGGGAAAGCCGGAAAATCCTAAGAAAAGAAGAGCAAAAACTATGCGTGTGTTGTTATAATATGGTTGGGAGAGAACAAGTACCCATTACAAATCCGAAACTAATGAGGAAACAAAAATGTATGCAATTGTGTGTGTGCAGATATATGGGGAGCGGTAGTGTAGCGGTTAGTGCGCTGCGCTACGTACCTGGCGGCCCGAGTTCGATTTCCGCTCTCGGCCAACGCCAGTTGCGATAATTATCTGTACCGGACCTGGGCCTCCCCTAGGTTGACTCAGCCTCAAATGAGTACCTGGTGCGGTGTGTAAAACATCACCACTAGAGAGACAAAGATGGCTCGGCATGGTGCTGGCCACCCATCCCCTCTTGTGCCGTTCCAGCCTTCATAGGTGCTCACTAACAGCACTTGCCGCAACAGTCTGTTAAGGCTATATTTGGGATCTTTGTTACAAATATATACAGACATCCAAACATTAATGCACAAGAGAATACAAAAATAAATTAGAAAGCTAAAAATAAAGAAGTCGTGGGTAGAAATACAGAAACGGGCCCGAAGAATCTTCACGTGATGTCGTGCAGCTATTTCTGGAAACTCCTTCAGCAAAGCTCCTTACCTTTGTGGCCCGATTACAAAAATAGCACAAGTCAAAGAGGCAGGACATAATCCCCGCAAAACAAATAGTTTCTAAATGCAACAGCGAAGGACGACGGGCGATTTTTTTTTTTTTGCGCGAGATCTGTGTGCGCGTGTGTGCACTTCAGATTCACGTCTGCCCACGCACGGCTTTAAATAGATGCAGGGTGACTCAAAATAGCGCGCGCCTCCTTTAAGCTGCAAGCAGCGGCGTGTGCACGTGTCACTGCGAGGGAGGGCTGGATGGGCGTGCGGGTGGGTGGGTGCACGCGTTAGCGTACACGCGCGTTTATCCACGTCTTGAGAAAGAAAAAAACGCCTTCTGGTCCACGGCTCATTTTGCTGTTAGACGGAGGGAATCAACGGCGCCTGCGATCGTGACCGTCACGCCGCGGTTGTATTTTCCGCAACTGTCCGTGCCGCCTCGTTAGAGCGAAAGAGTGTCCGGTGTATTTAAAAATAAGCGACGATGCTAAAAGTCTTGCCACGTCTGCGATGAGAGGTCCGCCAACCCTACATTGTGAAAGACACAGGAATGGTGGATGCAAAATAAATGGCTGGACGGACGCACGATTCAAAATGTCAAGTGCTTTTGAGTAGGGCGTTCAGAGATTTCCTTCCAATCCTTCACGATTCCATGACTTGTCATTATTCAGGATCACTGTTTTACTCAAGAATAAATTGTTTACTTTCAACATGCTAGTGAATGTAATGGCCTCTAGTAGGTGGATAGGTCACACGAATGGTGTACATACAACATATATGAATGAAAAAAAATATCGATTGTTACACATGCAATTTGATGCGTGACAGCTTATAAATCAACAATGATGAATCGATGCATCGTTACACCCATACTCTGAAGAATTCCGCTTTGCTCATTTCTGTCAAGTCCAAATTCATGTGGTAACAATTCCCACATTCATGGGAGGGTGGACAATTTACATTGTTTACAGAAACGACTGTTTATTTTACACAGCGGTGCATCTTCAAAGGGTGATGCTTGACTCATTTTAGCAAGGCCATTCATAGTGGGGGGTGGGGAGCAGGGGGGGGGGGTGCAGGGCCCAGGCCAAATCACGTTGCGTGGGCCCCGGCGCCTTCAAACTAAACCGGAAGTATTACATCTGACACCGTGACATCGAAGCGCAGGGCCCCCCAAAGTGCGGGGCCCGGAACGGTCACCCTGATTCGCCGTGTACCCTAAGGACGGCTCCGCCTGGAGCAGTTGGGAAGACGAAGGTGTTGAGATGAATCAACCCTGAATGCTATTAGAACTCATGACCTTGCAAAACAACAAACGCAATGCTCTTCTAAGTCAGATTAGCTGGCCCTCACAATACACAATTATACACTTGTACACATGGGCACATGCAAACTAATCCTTCAATTAAAGTGAGGCCTCACGTCTCTCTTAAAATAGCAACGTCAAATTTGTGCTGAATTGTGCAGGACACAATTTAAGGCGGTGATAAAAATTCCGCGTGATTTTTATTCCAATTTTTTACGGAGGCGAGTCTATAGATCAAACTAAAATAAAAACGAAACAATTTTTTATTTTACCAGGCAAGGAACCCTAAGCTATATAGCTTTTTTTTCAGAAGCGACCAGCCACAAATGATAGCTCAAGAAAGCGGCTTATCATTTGGAAATGTGGAGGGAAAAACTTGAGGACCCAAAGATAATTCCACGCGACCAAGGGGCGAGAAAGAGAACATGCAAAGTCCAAATACACAGGCATCATCAGGGTCGGAATCGAACCCACGACCTCCTGTATACCAGGCAACGGAGTTAACATCTCACCACCGTCGTGCCCCCTTCAGCACCACCACCAGCAGTGATTTCACAAAGCGGTACTCATTCATGCCATCTCAGACCCTCCTGCTTGCAAGCCGCACGCTCTAACCCGCGACGTCACTCGTCCAAACAGCAAATCCCTCATTAGTGTTGCCTGGAGAAGGATGGGACAAGCTCCAGTTGTTGTGCATCATTCGCAGTCCACCTTTCCACATCAACCAATTGACACCGGCACTTAACACGCCTTATCTTAACTCGCAGAGCGAGCGGCGATATTTGGTTGACGTGGAAAGATCTCGGCTGTGTGCGTGCGTGCACGCTCGCACCCAAGTGGCACTCATTTTCCATGCCTGGTTTAGCAACCGCATCCTACGTTCTTGGCAAAAGGATGCGCGGATATATTTTAATGCACCCCACACAGTGATACACATATATGCGCTGTACTCCTTCTCATAAGCGAACACGGCGAGCGGTCGCGACGGGATTTGACGGCGTCCGAGCAGACTTACGGATTTCCTGCGCCACTCGTTCCAGCTTCTCCTGGGACCGGCTGATAAGCACGATGGAGAGGCCTTTACGGGCTAGCTGCACACGCACGCACACAGGCCCCCACACGTGAAGAGACACACACATACGAGTGCTGTGCGCCCGACTGGCCCGCGCTGCGTCGGCTGTCAAGTTCCTGTCACTGCGTAAACGCATATGATATTGCGTAAAATGTGTACTGTATAAGTTGTAGATTAGCACGGTTAATTACGTAATAAGTTCAACATGCATACATTTGTTATGTTTGTATGTGCGTCATTGCGCGTTTGCTATGTATGTGTTATTTGAAACCCTGGATACCCTTGAAAACAACGGGATGTTATACTTCAAGGGATTTTACAGGTATATTTTAATAAAAAAAAACATTGAGTAGAAAGCAGCATTTGTTCAGCGCACACTAACGTCACAGTCTGGTCACCCACCATGGTTTAAACCAAACATCTCTCCAAACTACGAGACGTAAAGGAAGATCGGTTTTAAGCATGAACTGCACCTCCGGTAATTATAAGGGTTGGCTACATACGGCGCAAAAGAAGTTCAACATATGTACACAAAACTGTTGCTGAAGCACTGCTCCTTCAAAGCTCGGCATGGCCTTGCTCTACGATATAATTTTCGTGAATTCGTCGGAATAAAAAAATAGTTCTCCAATAAAAAAAAATATACATATGAACTTATTTACCAATGAGATATTTACGGTGATCTATTACAGTTATTTTTAGTGTCATTGTGCCTGCAAATTTTTTAATTCTCTCAAGAAGGCAAATTATTTGACAAAATGAAGCTCTTTTAACATCACCTATTTAAGCCTCATGTGTAATCACAGCCATGTGACCTGAAAATAAATATAACTTTCACCATATGCTACTTCTTTATGATTACTCACTGAAACAAAAAAAAACTTTGTAGGTTTACGGTGGTGATAATTTACTGAACACGTACAGAGAGTACAATATGCGTGGCAAATCAACGCGGGTGGCAAAGACTGCACGCCGACGTCCATCGTGAACATACAACCCGTTCGATTTTTTTATTTACATGGAAAAAACGCAAGAATCTTAAGTTTTCATGGCAACACAAAAATTAAGGGAACAAAACAAATTAATGCTTTCAAATTCACATTCTACCTCTGCTGCTGAATAAAAAAAAGGGTACACAACAACATTTGAGAGACAAGGCCACCTTACCTGCTCCACATAAGCCTTTCCAATTCCATCCGTGGCTCCAGTGACAACTGATAAGACAAAAAATGAAAGAGAAAACCCATTAGTGCCGATTATCAAATGAACACCGGGACCTTTATCATCCATGTTTAACATTACAGCAGTGCGATCATGTTCTGCAGATCAAGTTACATGTCCGAGTTTTGCAAAAACAACATACAGGCACCAAACCCTTTTTCACAGCATATATACCAACAACAAAAGCAGTCTCCGCTATTGTTCAATGCGACGTTCAATTTTGCACTTTCTGGCTTATGTACAACATTCTGAATCATATGCATTGCATTTTTGAGATTCGTTACATTCAAATCTTCAACGACGAATTTGGACCGACTGAGATAACTCTCAAAAGGTAGGCCTTTTGTGAACATCCATCTTTGATGAGTGGCATTAGGGATAAAGTCAAGGAACCATTTTTAGTTTTGACCTCTAGCTTTTCACGAATGTAAAGGGCATCACGCAGTGATTTATAGCAGTCAGCCTTGGATACAGGTGGGCAATCACACTTTGAAAACATTTTTAGCACGTATTTTCTGTCAAATAATCCCTTTGCATTCGGCTGTTTTCACGCCCCGACAAAACGACCTGAAAAATAAAATACTATACTGGAAAATATCAACAGATTTGCAATGTTTCCCCATCTGCGATGCATTTTTTTACATTTAAACTTTTTTTTTGCAACTTTCTCCCCTTGCCGGCTAACAGCCAGCCATTTAAAATAATTGGTTCCGCGATGTTCCCGTGCATGATGGCTTTGATCAGATTCTGGGATGAACCAAATAAGTGGAAACTTGACCACCAATCTCCATGGCAGTTTATCTCCTCATCCCAGTAGAAATCTGCGAGAGCTACCTTGTCATGATTGCAAATCCATCTCCTGCAGATAGTTGCAAGTAAAGAAGCCGTGCACTCTTGCTCACGATTTATCTGGAACCCCAAAACACATTTCACAGCAGGTGAACTGATTCTTTCTGCAAACGTGGTATCTGAACTATGCACCGACTCGTTAGGACAGTGCAATAGCCACAAGGCTATTCACGAGCATCCATAAAGTAGCAAAACACCTATTATGTTGTCAATTATATAGTGAGAAAGTTTTCACTGGTCCTCCAATGGGATGTTTGGAAGACTTCATTTCAAGGGTATTTGTGCGTGGGAGGAATGCAGATTAAAGGTTTTTCAGTTAGATTGCGTAAATATAAATGTGTCGTTAAACCCACCACCACCCGACATAGCTAATTCGTGAGGTTTGTCACAAACCTCACAGCCACTTAGTAAGGTTGGTCATAAAGTACGGTTTGTCATAAACCTTCCTGATTGGCTGTCGGGTTTAATGACGCATTTATCCAAGAGGTTGTTATTGGGGTTAGATCGCGTAAATATGTGTGTCGTTAAAACCTGCCACACAGCCAACTAGTAAGGGTTGTCACGTAAACAGAACGTGGCCAATTCGTCACTAGTACAGCACACCGGTGTGTTGGGGAGCCAGGCCACAACATTTACAATCCGAGTACGACTTTTCGCCAGTATTTATATTTACGCGATCTAACCCAAAAAAACCTCCGTCACGGATAATATTGATCGCGAAAAGCCTACGTGTTAAACTGGAATGCAGCAGAGAATCCGCGCATAGGACAATGTTCAAAGGAAGACAAATTTGGGTTCAGGAACTCGCTTTCCATACTGCCACCTCCTGGTCACCTCGCGGTGCAGCAGGTTTGGGAGATTTTTGTTCGAAATAATTTTATGAATCACCGATCGTAGGTCAAGCCAAAGAACATGCACGCCACTCACAAATGACACAGTCATTCATACAAGACAGACACTTACAATCACATGTCAGAATATGTCCTTTCAGCTTAAAATATACCCGATGTGGAAATCTCCCTCCATAATTCCAAACCAACATTGTGCAATGCTCAAATATAGGACTTGTGCATCTTGAAGGTGCTCGGGAAAGCTAATTCGTGATTTGCTATTAAAAAGCGTATATTTATTCTGCACAGCGTTGCATGCAAAAACATGTATCCATACACAAACACACATCCAAAGAGATATATGTTTAGTTTTATGATTATTACATTTTGCTCAATTCTATTTCACAGCCTAAAAATAACTAGGTGCAAAAACCGGTTGCAAGGCACTGCTATTTTGAGAAACACTTTATCCCAGACTTTCTCTCTGGTGAATACGAGCTGTACTTCGCCTGAACGCCCCTTGCACCGCATCAGCACGCACGGAACATTTTTTTTTCCCTCTCTCCTCCTCGTCAGCTATCCAAAGGCACATTGCATTCACCGTGCAAAAAAATATATATAGGGGGCATAACTATGACGGGCGTTAATGTCACAATGACAGGACACCTTCGCAAATCCTGGACCACGAAGCAGTGCACTTGTGCGTAAAACAAAAAATAGTCGAGGCCTAAATTTATGGTATTTTTTTTTAAATGATGATAGCAATGGTGATAAGGGTGGAGGACATCGTATGCATTTAACGTTTTTTTCTGCCTCGGTGTCCTCCGTGTAAGCAGCGTACACGCACGACTGCTCGTTGCACGGGCGAGTGAGCGAGCGCCTCCAAAAATATTACCATTTCAATCGAGGGCTAAATATAGCGCTTGGGTTGGAATTGATCCCAGGCAGAAAGGCGATGCTGTTTTTAGCTCAGCAAGGATCACCTGAGGGAGGGATCGGTCTGACGCACTAGCTCGGCACGTGCCTGCGCAAGCCAATGCGTTCATACAAAACAAGAACAAGGAACTGCGGCTGCTGCCGCCGCCGCCGCCGCCGCCACTGCAGCGGCATCGCCCACGCACTTCTGGTTTCGGCAGGGCCACGCTGCCGCTGCATTCAAATGATTTTGCACATCTCTTTTTTTTATAGCAAACATCTACGTGTATCCGCAAAGCGTGCGCGAGTGCACATATTATTTGCGTGGCGAGATTCTTCCCGTGCGTGCAACCGTTCATTTTTTTGCATTGGCCCTGTAGCGCGCCATCGCATTTTATCAGCGACAACAAAAAATAATCCTGGGAGCGATGCACGCACGCACGCACGAGCACACTGCTGAATCGGGCCCCCTTAAATTAATTTCTGGAGTGGCGTCATGCAGAAGTTATTACGTTGTTAATGCGTAGGGTACGCATTAACAACGCAATGCACTGAATGTGCATTTACAGGCCAAAAAAATGTCTCTCTTGTAATGCCCAGTTACCCACGGAGATAATATTAATGACGCAAATCCCTGAAATGGTTGCACGATGCATAAACGCATGGTCTGTTTTGACAGCAGTGAGCTGGGGCTAAACAGCGATGCGCACTGCCCATCCCACGTGACTTTCTTTTTTCTTTTACCCAGAGTTCTAAATTTAGCAGCTTCTGCACCGATCGTTTTTGCTTAATTGAGAAAGGCCAGGACAGAACACCCTGCCATTTTACATGGTGTACTGCAACATTTAATAAGCTTTTATTCCAAAATGAAAGCTGTGCAAATTTTGCATTAAAATAATACAACCGGTTATATATATAAAAACACAAGTGCACACTTGCTTTGTAATTTGATTACGTAAGTTATCACATTGCAGCCTTTCTTAGCTCTGGGAATTGAACGTTTTGGAGCCAACCAATGTGACGCACTGTTGTGAGGTAATGCTCGCAGGGGGGGAAAAAAGGGGGATTTTTCTCCCCTTGTTTTAGCTCCATGACTCTGTAACGAACGGCGAGGTTGCTCTTAACTGATCCGCACATGCATGTTAATCCTTAATGCCATGCAGTCTCGTGGCCAATGGGAATGGTTGCGCTGCAGAAGCCGGCTTTCCGCATGCAAACACATGGCTCGCTAATCTGGATGAATGCCTGGCCGGGCGGAAAACATATCGCAAATGAATGCCAAACACCTAAATATTAAAGTAACTGAAATGATCATTGCAGTACCTTAAAAAAAAAGGTGTCATATTGTTCCATACATTCAACATTGTTCAAATAATTTTGAAAAATAATAATACACACTCCCCAATAAACTCTGCCTTGTGCCATGGCAAACAGTTTATTGTTATTCAGTTGTGTAATACCATACGATTTACAAAGCTTTACATTTTTGATTTTAATATACACGGTTTTTTTAACGTTCTAAAATTGGAGAAAAAAAAACATCCCTCCCACCCCCAATACTCCCGTCGCTAATTGCACGGGCATGCATTGCTCACGCACTCTATGATTTACTTAATGCACTTTGAGCCGCATTTAGCCCTCTCATGCGGTGCGGTGAACAGGGCGGCAGACTGTGCACGCGAGATTGCACGAGGGCTCGTTTCTCAATGAGCTCGCCGACAAGCGAGACAACACGTCAGGACGGCACACTCGAGGAGCACGCCAAATCAAAGAATGAATGTCCAAACCCCCCATTTCCATTCTTAAAAAAAAAACACACACGCACACAACCGCAAATGACGTTCATTGCAACGAAAAATATTAATGTAAAAAAAAAGTACTCCCTTCTTCATTTTATCTTTTATTACTATGCGTATTGCAACAACAACAAAAAAATTCCCGCACGTGCAGCAAATGCAACCGGGCTGCATTTGAATAACACGGCCGCCGAGAGAGAAATTAAAAATAGAACGGGCGAGCGGGACCGCTGTGCAGAGCGGCCGTAAACAGCGCGTGCGTCATTTCATGGCATGTGCCGTCAATGCAAAAGAGGGTGGCTCTCGCCGGCTCCGTCACGGCGCTTTCCTCACACCAGTGGGTGGCAGACTAATAGCGCTCTGGAGTCCGCGAGGTCTCTCCCGCACTCATCCTACCAGCGCAGACACAGAGCAGCAACTTTTTTGGGAGAGGCAGCCTCAACCCAAAATGCTCACCTCTCATCCGTACCGAAGGCAAGGAGAAAGATTCATTTATCTTTGAAGGTATGTTACGATAGTGTACGTTATGCCTACCTGAAAACGTAATGATTCATATTTGGTATGTGGTACTGTATGTTACGTAGACGGGAGGTAATCATACAG